CATGTTTTCAAGGGAACTGAAATAGTGCATCCAAAGTAAAGTAAGTGAGTAAAATACAAGTGTAACTTGGATTTCACCATTTAATGTACATTGCTTTGCTTTACTTTAACTTCAGGGTTATCTTTAGAGGGTTGCATTTCACTTTGTTTTAAACTTAAATTTCATTTTGAGAACTGACAAGATATCGTATTTTATTCAAGTTTTCATTTAGGTATTTTCAGTGCATTACTTTTACACATGATCTCTTGCCCTTAGTGTGTTATTGTATTGAGCTTTATGTTTCCCAATGTATGGGTCAATAATGCTCTTTTTGTTATTGGTGCCTTGACCAAACAACTGTTACAACTGTTATGTGAGTGGTATCTGTACAATGTCGTGCACTGTATTTCATGTTATTGCTTGCTGAGCACAATTTTCTACCCTTATCGAAGTGGTGGCAGTTCTTCTGAACAAACTGCAGGGTTCTCTTGAGAGTGGGGGCTCTACTTTCTGTGTTTATGGAGAATGCAACTCTCTTGCTTCACAAAAAGTAGATGTATTCTCCACAAACAGAGAAAGTAGTTTGGGTGACAGTTTCAATGTAATATGTCTTGATCGAGGTTACCTGTGTTTGTTCTGTATGAAGCCAAACAGCATGAGTGGATCGGCTTGTGTAAAGCAATGCAGTGTCCTAGCAGTCCAAGATTGGTGGTTATTAAGATTAACAATTGAACATCAGGTGTTGACAATTATATTTAGTTGTAGTTGAATTGAGAGTACATTAATGTGTAAGGAAGTGAGTTAAATCCTACCAGGAATGATTTTCAGAAAGCCAAAAAAATTATATTGAATTTTACCAGTTACAGATTGCAGCACATTACTAGATTGTAACTGTTGACAAACAGTTTACAGAAGCAGGCCTATAAGTTAGTGTAGTAATGGTGTGTGTACCTGAAGCAATATTTTGAAAGGTACAAGTGTATGTCGTGAGGTGTGTAAGTTGGATGCTTACATGTATTCAAACATACATATGTGATTATTTGTGTGCAATGTGTTGCACAGATGTAGGAACCTTACACAATGCCATTCATAAGTGTTGTCCAACACAAGATGAATCAAAACACTGAGAACACAACAAGAGAGCAATTTTTGATTGAGAATTCGATCAGGGGGTTAAGGTTGTCAAGTATGAAGTTAATTGTGAATACTGGCCTGCTATGCACTAATCAAAAAAGCAATGAGACTGTTGGTTTTGTTAATGCAGGAGTAAGAATGTTTCACCTTTTCATAATGAAACGTTTCACTGGTAGTGGATTTTACAGGCAAATTATGATAGTAACTCAAAGGCTCACGCCATGCTTGGACGAGAATACAGTTTTAATTGTATTCTGCAAGTTTGGCTGGTAGAATTTCAGTTAGGTAGAACTGAAATATAAGTGAAGTGAAATCACCTGTGAAAAATGAAATTCATAAATAGCATGTCTGAAGATGACGAATGTGTACTTGGTGGAACCAATGTTTTATTTGTTATGCAAAATATTTAAGTTTAATACGAGAGTATTATTTAATTTATGCGTTAAAGTAATATATTTTCAGCATCGATAGTTATGGCAAATTTGCTTATGTAACTGTTTATGAATCATTTGTTGTGTACTTTAATTGTTGTGAATTGGCGTCATGTTACTGGAACCTTCTGAAATTTCCCTAGTTGCTTTAAGTAAGTATCGTTGCAGCATATATGTAGTAGTGTGTAGAAAGTTCTAGGCCTCAAGTTAGGCTATTTATAAATATTCGTACAAAATGTGATAGGAAATTAAGTAAAAGGAAATAAGAAAAAAGATAGAGATAGAAATAAAATGGGTGATCGTGAGCTTAGCCATAAAGTATGTATAGTGGCGACTTTTAAATTATGATAATTAATATCAGATTGCATTATAATAACAGAGTAAAGAATAATATTCGTCTTTTCAATTGGGTTCTAAAGTGACTGAACCAGCCTGCGTGGACTTTTGACGTAAAAGAGAATTACTTAAAGCTCTGTATACAATTGTGGTAATTAACTGTGTAACGAACATTCGTATATACGTTTGACTTGTTTTAATATATTATTTCAAAACAAGTGGAGTGTATGCTGTCTGTTTATTGTTGACATTTATCGCCAGCAAGTCAAAGGTACCTACTGTAAAGATTCCTGTAAAAACCTATCAATATTTTGAACATGCACGTAGAAATGTTTCCAATATATAATTATCTGCTCAGTATTGGTTAATTTCATCAAGCTATAACTATGTGTAAGATTACATGGCAGATGTAGTGTGGTTGACATATTATAACATTCTTCTTTGCTTTCACTTATAGGATCTTAGTATTATAGGATCTTAGTGTCACAAAGTCTGAAGTTATATTATTATATTCCTAACTTACAATGCTGGTTCGGGTCACGGGTCATTAAGAGTCTATGTAGGCATGGCCTTGTTTGTTAGTTGTTCTTTCACGTAAACTGTTCCGAGATTTTATGTTTTGAACATAAAATTTCTTTATTAAGAGTCGTACTTCCTAAATATACTTAATACACTACGTTTCTAATCGTAAAATATCCTGATCTGGGATACTCGGAAAATGCTAAGAGTGAGATCTAAGACGATGATATTTTGTAATATTGTTACGTTTCCTTTCGTTAGTTAATTTTCCGTAAATTCATTCCCACGAAACTTTAGCGTCATAAGTCCTTTCTTAAATAAAACTGGTTTATTCTTTCTGAATATAACTTTGCGATACACTTAATTTCAACAGTCGCGCTATAACAAACGGTATAATTCTCAACGAACGGCTCACGTGCTCGACTCAACAATACTCAGTTCAATTACACATTGTTCCGTCACTTTGTGACCGTCTTATATATACAAGACTAACACATATCCAGTAAACGTTGAGCATTCATGAAGGAACAGGATATTTCTAGAAGTCAATGACGTGTTACTAGAGTCACATGACTTCCGCTGTCGTAACATAAGTTTAAGCTTAAAATATTCAATCAAACAGAACGAACTTTGTCCCCTTCGAATGAAGGTAAATTCAAATATTTAGCAACAACAGTGCAGTAGCAGACGACTTTTCAGCTAGCAGACGATGCATGCTAATAAGCTGAGCACGCGCACTCTTTACTAGGACGTTTTAGGACAACATGGGACCTATTGGTCCATCTTGGCTGTTGCAGCCTTTCAACTAAATTTAATTTTTTTTGTCTTAACGCCAGCCCTTATCATTCATATACTTATCAAGCTTTTTCTTAAATTCACTTAAATTTGCTGTCTCTACAACATCTGAAGGCAACCCATTCCAAAGGCCAACCACCCTGTTAGCAAAATGAAACTGTCTTAGTTGAAGAAGACAATTACCCTGCCAAAATTTATATTTGCGTCCCCTAGTCCTACTATTCTCACTATTAAATATGAAAAAAAAACGATGATGCATCAAAACTATTAATTCCCTTATCAATTTTAAACATCTCAACCCAATCCTCTCTAACTCTTCTTTTTTCAAGAGAAAACAATTTCGGAAATTTTAACCTCTCCTTGTATGACAACCCTTCCATCCCAGGCACCATTATAGTAACCTTTCTCTGAACCCTTTCC